CTCGCACTCTCTCCCTTAGCTTGCCTTCCAAACGTAAGTGTGTCATCATTTGCTAGGCATACGCGAGTAATTCGATTTCACTTCAGCCTTTGGTGGAGCCGTAGAAACCCGCACAGATTCGTCATTTTCAATCACTGTCAACTCACTGTTTTGATGAAGGAGATCTCAGGCCCCCATTTTAACATTTTTTTTTTTTAAACGCATGTATGCAAACATGGACTTGTCAGACCACAAAAGCTGCCAAAAGGCTGTACAAGTTTACCATTAAAAAAGATGAAATTGCCCGGGCTAAAATAGAGCTGGGCACTTCATAGATTTAAAGGATTTTTTTTTTTGGTGGGGGGGGGGGTGCTTCCTTAGCTCAAAGTGTGTCCTCGCTGACACGCATTGCCCGCACTCACAACATGGCTGCAAACAGGGAGGAGTTTATTGACAAAAGCAGTCAGCATTGTTGCTAAGACACAGACAACGCGAAGAGAATCAGTTTGACTTTGTGTTCCGTGTGACAAGAAAGGAGCCCGGTGGAAGGCAATTACAGAGTCACTCGAGCTGAACGTTGCCCAAAGACACGGTGCTCATTTATGCCTTGCAAAAGCTGTGATTTATCTCCAAGTTGGAAACTTTTGAGCCGAGGTATGTGCTTCAAAATATTTTGCCCAGGTCACATGACCAAACCTGTGCAACTCTACTCAACTCAGTCAGGCGGTGTTGAAAATTAAGATTAAAATAAAACAACCATAAAACCCTCCAATGGTTAAAATAAAACTACAGTTGAACATTTTCTGTAAGAGTATCTGTAAGTGTTTGTGAAGAATCTTTTCACCGATAGTTTGGGGTGTTTGTGAGCTGCCCTTGAGGTACAAGTCAAACCGCGAAGGTTTACAGTGAACAGCTGTTGTTTTCTTTGTAATGTCACATTAATAAGATGGGTCAGGGTTGAGGACGGAGAAAAACCGGGAGGTCAAACGAGACGCGGAATAAAACAAGACAATGTTGGGAATGACATGGAGGGGATGAGCGCAATCGCGCATTAGCAGCTTATGGATTAGCCGCTTCCACGGTTCCCAGGCCCCCCCCACCGTCCGGCCGCGCGCTTTTGCACACGTGCGGCTCTTGACCGCGCGGCCATCCGCTAGCGGCCGCGTCTTAATTAGCCGGCAGACGTGGGATCGATACATGAGAAAAGGTGGGACAAGTCGGCGCGGTTCAAGGTTTTCTTGTGTGCTATTGTAGTGTGCGCTCAATAGCCGCACCGACATCACCACACGAGTCGGTGAAGGTGAAGGACAACCCTCGCTGCCTTTCCCACAAAGGCTGACATAACATCAGAAAATCAGCGGCGCGCGACTCGACTCAAGGATGGAAAAAGGAGACGGCCGCCAAGGTTCCTCCATTTCGTCTTCTTTACATTGATTCTGTATTTTTTATTTTTTTTATTGAAGTGCCTTCCGCAGGCTCTTTCATGATGTTGTGATAACTGTTAATGATCTAGTTTGATAGTTGTAAGCAGAGAAAACGTGGCGGGGTGGATACACGGGGTGTCCATTACGTGTTTTTACAATTAAAGATTGAAAAAAGAAATGGATGATACAAAAAGTGAGAGGTCGGCCCATTTGGCCTCCGGGTGAAATTGCGCAACGTGCTCGCTCGTCTCCAAAAAGTGGTGCGAAAAGCATTGAACACATAAGCATTTAAAAGTGAAAAGAAAGTCCAAATATCTTGACCCGTAGAGGTGATACAGTCGTGCCAAATAAGATCAAGCGAAATCATTTGAGTGAGGTTCATCATGAAAGTTGTTGTTAGTGGCGTATATGAATCAGATTTGTTTCAACGTTTGTAATCACACTGCAACGGGTACCTTGTTGCTAGAATCAGTTCTGTTCAACGATGCAGTGTTTTTGGGGGAGTCGCCTAACTGGAGTCACTAAACCACATTTTATCTGAGTCCATTAACTTGAGTCAGTCACTTGATTTGACTGAATCTTTGGAGTGTACGATGTTTCCGGTTACCGTAGTCTGCTGGCACAAGCTGGTGAAACAAATAATCTTGCAGCTGTTTTCAGTGAGTCGGCTGGCTGGAGTCGGTAAGCCGATTGAATTGAATCATCTCGAGTCTGTGCTTTCTTTTCTGTGAATCCACCGACTCGAGTCGGTGAAACAAATGAGGCGAGGGTGCGGTGCTCAGGATGATCTAGCACACCTTGTGTACTTAGCAGAAGCGAGTCAGAGGTCTCATAGGATCCCTTAGACTTTGCTGCTCCGGATTCAGTATGAAGGTCTGAATCATTCAATTAGATGGGACTTTTTTTTTTGTTTGTTTGTATTCATTGCCTCGAGTCGAATGAAAATGAAAGCATTCGGAGATGATGCTGGAAAAAAAAAAAGTATTGATGCAATATGCCGGTGCTCCTTCGTTCCATTCAGGTCCATGTCTGCAGGTTACCTGGTTGTGGGAAGCCTTCCATGCCTGATGGAGAGTTTATCAGCACATACAAGGATTTCTTGCAAGGCGCTGACACACAGTGATAAGGCTTTCACATTCGTTCCCTCGCCAGAGGGCTGCCGACATCGCCCGGGAAGTCCAATCAGCCTCACGCAACTGACTCGCTGATCCACCGCTGGACACAAGCGGTCGGTCCGTTCATTTTATTTCAATTTACACCGCAAAGTTTTTGGTAGCAAAATTGCATTTGATGCCCAGGAGCGGAGAAGCGGGTAGAATTGGAGGAATCACGTTTTCCCTCCCGATCCATCCAAAGCTTTTTTTTTTTTTTTTTATTTGTGGGCGGTATTATTCCATGCTTGCTAGGCATCTTTGCATATTCCAAGTCATTTATCCATGTTGGAGAGTTATCGATGGAGAATTTTACAATGCATCATGGACGCTAGGGCTCATGCAGAAGTAGAACACGGCCTTTAAGAACAGGTACGAGGTGATTCGAGCAACTACTATGTCGGTAATTGATCTTATCTTCTGGCAAGCTTGTCTTAAGCTGAACGGTATCGATTCAGCATGACATGGTGGGCTAAAACGTCGGCGGATGAGCGTGGAAGTGTGCTGCTACGGACAGACATTGACAACTAGTTCTCGTTGATGTTTCTGGTGTTAAAGCTAAGGAATGACTGACTGGTGACGAACTTGTGTCTCATCCAGCGTAGCTTGTTTCAACGGAACGGCTTTTCATTCGAAGCGTACGTCCCATTTATTGTAATGGGCTACGCGCAAATTTGGAAAAACCTGGCAAGCTCGGCCGCGTCCTCACTTTCCGCCGACACGTCCCCGGTGATTACCATTTAATCAGCCGCAAACTCTCTTAATTACGAGATTAGGCTCCTGCCAATTTGCCAATGCGCTAATGGTTCTCGTCTGCCAACTGAATCGCAATTAGGGACTAACTGTTTCAATTCACCTCGGGGGGGGGGGGGGGGGGGGTCGGTCCTGGCCTGGTTATGCTCGTATAAACCAACCGCCAGGCTGGCAGCACCGCTCCAGTTTGGAGAGCAGCTGCCAATGCTTTATGACCATCTTGAGGGCCCTTCCGCTGCATCGCGAATACAACATTTCCGTTCCGCTGAAAAGAAAGCCGCAGCAGCAGCAGCAGCAGAGGCGTTTTACCTTGTCCTATTTAAATGTCTCTAATGTTCTGTAAATGTACATTTTATAGCGAGAACTATAGCGCAGAGGGTCTCGTAGCTCTGTTGACAGAAGGTAAGTGAATCGTTTATACGGGTGTTAGGTATTTGGAGTTACATTGAGGCATATAAAAAAAGCATTTACCGCCGCGGTTAAGAACAAGCTCAATTGTGTGGAGTTGATTGGAGATTAATGGCGTCGTAAAACAACTCGCGGAGGCGCTGTTGGTTTTGACGAGTTTGCTGTCGAAAGAAAGCCAGCATGACTGTGCCTCCCCGTCTTGGAAACAGAAGTTCAGAACATTCAGAAAGGACATAAATAGAGGAACTGATCATTGATTGTAAGCAAAAGATGCTCATTATTTTTGTTTTTACATAATATCATTTAGCGATGCTAAGCTAGGAGGGGCAGCCGTCAGCGAATTCCAAGTGTGTGCACGGCGAAGATAACTGAAAGAACACGAATGCCGGCACATTATACTAAATATGGCCGTGCACAAGATACACAATTAATGGATAGGTGTCAAACTCCGGGCCGCCGTCCCTTTTGCAACACAGCTAATTCAAATGACCAACTCATCAGCAAGCTCTGCAGATGCCTGATATCGATCATGTTCACTTGAACCAGGTGTGGTGCAACAGGGAGAGATGGAAAACATGCACGAGGGCAGCTCTCCGGAACCGGACTTTGACACCTATTCAAATAAGGGAACTGGAAATAACCTTTCACAGGTCCAAAAAAAAATATCCATATTGGGGCTTTTTTGTCAAATGTTAAGTATTCCTAACAAACATTTTAGCTTTGACAACAAAGTAAACTTTACAAAAATTGGTTGAGAAGTGAGCAAGTTGTGACTCATGCCCATGCATCGTGGGCAAGTCGCCCCTGCCAAGATGGCCGCCACATAGGCATAGTGGTTTATCTGCTTCAGTGCGATGGTGTATTTAGCATTCATATGGTTGGTGGTTTTCAGGAGAACATTTGGGAGCGCACCACTAGCAAAAAAAAAAAAAAAAAGAGGTTTTCAGTGATGGAATTGGAAGTGTTAGCGGAAGAGGCAAAACTATACTGAGTTACAGAAAATAAATTGATCGTTCTGATAATTTATGGGAAGCCAGCAAACACATCGACGGCACGCCTGGAAAAACTGCTGTTTGAACCAAGTGTCGCAGTGCGCTGAAATGCAGAGTTGAAAGGAGTGAGGGACCTGAAATCCCTCGCGAATAGCGGCAGTTGACTCTACGATTACGGGACTGAATGTTTTTAATTTGATTGTTGTAAACCGAGGACCCCCTGCACTCTTTAAATGAGGCTAAATGGATTGAATAGAACCTGGCGGAATTACAAAAAAAAAAGAAGTTCTCACCTTCCCTGTACTTTAATGTCGGAGATGGCGTAGAAGTATCTGGACAGGTTGTTTTCGTCCACCATTGTGGCACCAGTGGCCGGCTTCAGCAGCTTAATCCTCAGGTCGGTTATGGTGAAGAAGTCCCTCAGGTTCTTGGTGGTATCCAGCTGACCGTACAAGGAGGCCATGTTGTGCAGGCGAGGCCCGGCGAACAGGGCAAAGCGGTCCTTGATCTCAAAGCGAACCGTCTTGTCGTTCTTCCAAACGTAGCCCCGCGAGTAGTCCTCGGTGCAGATGATGTCCAGCAGGGTGCGCTGGGTGAGGTCGCCGACCGTCTTTGGCTCCATGGTGAAGCCGTCCAAACAGTCGGTGGCGTAGAACTGGTAGGGCGTCCACGTCCGGCCGTAGTCCAGCGACTTCTCAAGAACCATCTGCTCCGGCCGGCCCGACTCGAAGGTGAGCACGATGTCATCGGTCAGCTCGATAGTCTTGTTCCACGACAGCGTGATGTTGACTTGCAGCGGCTTGGGGTATTTCTTCCATGAGGTGGACTGCCAGAAGGTGGTGGGGTTGCGACCCTCGAAGTCAAACATCAGCTCAGGCGGATGAGCCAACTCCTCGGTGCTTGCGTCACACTCGTTGTTACACATGTAAGGGTTCTCCTGTAAAGACAACAAATAAGGAGCAATCCTGTCAGTTCATGTACCCTGATCCACGTGCCGGGCTTCTGCTGTAAGCCCTAAACACACCCGAAGCATAATTTTTAACCCTAACCACCACTCTGTTCGCTTTGATGGAGCCTTCATAGAATCCCACAAGAGGATAATTTGATGGGTGGCATGATCGGAATAATGTAGAATCACTTCTAAAGCAAGAATTAAGAAATACAAGTGGGACGTGTGTATGTCAAGTCAAAACCTCAGTGTAATACTTCAAAAATGCAATTCTTGGTTCGCCACTTCTCACCATTAAAAAAAAAACACAAGCGGTCTTTATTCCGCCAGTGTTCACGAAAGCACTTCTATCACATTCAGCTCCATGTGCGCTTGATCAAGCATGCACACTCGATACGTAGCGCGGCTCATTAAGATGTCCATGCCGATCCTCGCAAACTACCGTTCCTCCACCGCCACCCAAATTGCTGCTGTAATTGATATTCCTGTGTGGTATTTCAGACCCGAGATGGGACTGGAATCCAAATGAGCTGTTTCTTATAAAACACCGGGGTCACATGTATTTTTCATGGACACCCCCCCACCCCAACCCCGCCCTCAGTCTGCTCTGTATACGACAGGCCTCAACCCAGTCTATTTGTGTGTGTGTCTTCTCGATACATTCATCTCTGAGTGTGTGTGTGTGTGTGTGTGTGTGTGTGTGTGTGTGTGTGTGTGTGTGTGTGTGTGTGTGTGCACGTGTGTGAGAGTGAGTGAGAGAGAGAGAAAGAGACAGAAAGAGAGATCAGAAGACTCACTCCCATTGACATTCTGCTTACCCTTGCCCGACTTGCGCCCCCCCCCCCCCCCCCCCCCCCCCCGGCACCCCCCCGGAACAATGAGGTTAAGTGCTGATGAGATTCGCATCCACTGTAAGCGGCTCGATAATCAGCAATCATTTGACACCCGACACGCTGGAATTATCTAAAGGTGAGAACAATCATTTCGGCGACACCCAGTCGTTTATCGCTTGGCACTCTCTCGCTCTCGTCTCTCTACGAGCGAGATGGACACGGGCGATGAGGATCACCACGAACAATACTGATAAGCATTCGCCGTTACATTTTTATTTCACAGCGCCACTGCTTTTGTCTTTCCAATATTCAACTTGAGAGGAATTTTATTTCGTGCTTTGTGGGGCTCAACGGGTGTCGATAATGTGTATGACATTTACAGCCCCCATTAAGCACACGGGAACTGTTTTAATTGCCGGTCCACCATTCATTAGTCCGTCGTTTTTTTCCAAGTCGAATAAGATCTGGAATCGGCAGATTATCAGTCCTTCGTGTGAGTTTAACCACACTATCGTGAGTAAATTTCACCGGTCTACCAGTCCATCAGTCTGTCAGCCCTCCCCCCACAAAAAAAAACATGTCATAGTCGAAAAATCCAATTAGCTAAAAATGGTAAATGGAGTGCACTATATATCGCTCGCATACATTTCACATAGCCTACACTTATTTCCCAATTTATTGAACTGTTAAATAGAGCATGCTGGTGGTTGCCTGCTGCCATTTTAACTCCTAAGCTTTGCAAGAGTTGCTTACATTCGGTGTAATATTGTTCCGATCTTGTTCTAACTATCAAGCAGCTAACACGAGTCGCAAACGTTAGCAGTTGACGTCACTGCGTGGACTTTGCCATCTAAAATCGCACGCGATGTTTTAATCTTCTCAGATTTTGTGCTAATTTTACAGTAGCTCCACAGTCGGCAGCTAACAGGCTAGCAGTCAGAGCTAGCGGCTAATGTTAGCCGGCTACACTGCTGCCTTGTCCTCGCCGTTTCTTCTGTCACAACAGCAAAACTGAGCCTTCACGTGGCCTCGGGAAACTTGCTGATGTCTCATTATGTTGTTTCGTTCTCTATCTAGCTAGTTAGTAGTTAGCGTGAGACGTCAACACCAATGCCTGGACTTTTCTTTCTTTTTAGCCTGAACTGAGCTCTTGTGAGAAGTTTTTGTGCACACATTGCTCGGCAGTTTTTTTTTATCTTTGTCACTGTTTTTGTCTTCCTCCATTTATCTCAAGAGCCGTTTTATTTGATGCTCTATTTCATGCTCAAAGAAGGCTCGATTTATGACCCCGCCCTTGTGCCCCTGATACGGATCTCCTCACTTTTTTTTCCCCTTTTGCAACCACCCAACGCTATCAGCTACTTGCTCTTCAGCAGGGAGTCAATAACAAGGCCGCGCGGCGGCAAGATTGCGGGGCGAGCTGACTCAAAGGCGCGTGGCATAATCCAATTAGGAGGCTAATAAGGGTGATGCCGCCGAGACAGAAGCGGGAGGAATGTAAAAGGAGACCTTTTCCGCTCGCCGGGTTTCCAACGAAGCTGTTAAGTGTTCCCTTCTTGAGACGCCAACGCACCAGCGCAGAGGCCAAAAAGGCAGAAAACACAGTGTGTTATGGAGGACGTGGCATGATAAATCACAGACAAGTTGAATTATTTCTTTGGTTGCTGTTTATTCTTTTTTAAATTCGGATTGGTTTTCGACTTTCTCTTTCTGTTCGCCAGAGTCGTTCTTTTCCAACCTTTTGTGAACAAGTGACTTTGATTTAAATCTCCTGAGCTTGGTGTTGAGAATTTGAGAAAATCTGTTTGTGCTGCTTTAGGTTTTGTTTTGACAGCTTTATATATTTTGTTTTTGCTCCCATTGCATAGGACTCTCATTCTGAGCCACTATTGTCCAACTTTTGGGGAACAAAATCCACATTGATTTGGATTTTCGGTGACCGGGGTAGTGACCTTGAAGAAGGGACCCCAGATGGAGGTATCCTCCTTCCAGGATGACCAGCGTCCAATGCATACCAAGTGGACAACATGTAGCATGGTGCTGGACAATGTTAGTTAAAACCGCATGAGAATCCACTCAACCAAATTTCAGAGAGCAAAGAACTTTGATTTGGATCGTCTATGAACATTGAGTATTCGTGGGTGCTATTTGACAAGACAGAGCACGACGTAAAAATCTAATCTGCTCCCTTAGCTCCTTATCTAGGAAGCTAGCTAGCTAGCCTCAAGCTTGTCACATGTGATCAAAAAGTAGTGGGGTTTTTTTTATGGTCTCGTATTTGAAGGTTTTGCAGAACCTGTGATTTCCCCAAGGTCTTTCTCCTGCTTCTTTCATTTGTTGGTCTCCCTGAGACCGTCACGTCTGCGGCTAACGACGAGCAATTTCCCCATCGAACAGCAAGGCACAAATAAGTAAATAAGGGAGACATTTGCATCGGAAGGTTTTGCAGAACCTGTGATTTTCCCCAAGGTCTTTCTCCTGCTTCTTTCATTTGTTGGTCTCCCTGAGACCGTCACGTCTGCGGCTAACGACGAGCAATTTCCCCATCGAACAGCAAGGCACAAATAAGTAAATAAGGGAGACATTTGCATCGCTGCGCCGGCAGAAGAAATGGGGGAAGCGGTCATAAATTCAATCCATAATCATCCTCTCGTCGCCCGCCTCCACTTTGGGCCTTCGGGGAAGCGATCAATCTATTCGAGGAAGCCCCGTTCGGCATCAGCGGGGGATTCGTTCCTTTCACAAAAGTCCCTTCCATCATTAATAACGCTCAATAAAGCAGAGGCACTTTCCCCATCCAACAGTAAGTGACACTATTTACTCTGGGCTACAAAACGCCCACCACGCCGGAATTCTTTTTCTGATGGCTCGAGCGCGGAAAAGAAGGTCAGAACCTTCCATCGGATTTCCCGCGGTGGTTATTTAACAACGAAAACACCGCCTCCTGGCTGATCGATAGCCTCGGTGGTCATTGCAGACTCGGGGGAGCTTCAGCGCCGTACCAGGGGCCACCTATTGGAAAACAATAAGCCCCATCAGCTTGATCCTTCACCTGCAGTCGGGGCAGAGGAAGCCGAGATGAAAAATATCACCTCGGCTTTTCCCACGGATAATTGTCTGACTCAATAGGTGATCATATAGCTGCCGTGGATCTCTTGATGACTATCACACAATCCAATTGAGTCACTTATTGGACTTTTACTGGACCACTTTGACCTTATTTTTCATTTGATGTATTGGTACACAAAATAATTTTACTTTTGTTCGGAAAAAAAAAAAGTCATTGAAGGATATGTGTAAGGCTGAAAAAGACAACGGCAAGAGACCGAGAAGGTCGGAGACGGCAGGCGTAAAGTAAAAAAAACAGAACGGCGATGTAGTAGAAGACTACGAAGTCGGCAAAGGTGGCGAAAGGGCGATGGCAAAAAAGATGATTTCATAAGACAATGAAGAAGAAAATCGAGACTACAAAAGAATAAGAGGGCAATCATGAAGATAACAAAAAAAAAATGATGTCAAAACATGGCTGAATAAAATTCCTCATCAGATATCAGCATCATCATCCTCATTGTGAAAAAAATAAAATAAAAAAATGTCCTTCCGATCTTATGAGATTTGGATGAAAATAATCACAGCCCAACTCTCTCCCTCTGTTTTCCTTCTACAGTAATATAAGGTTGACCTTAAGGGCGCGGCGTAGTGCGAGATGTTATTAGCCTCGACCAGCTGCAGTCTCCCGACTGCACAGCGGCTGCTTAACTTAGCGCAACGATGGGGACGTGTACAGTGAGGGTCCGATCATTAGCAAAGGGGGAGGGATATCTGCTAAATGTCAGCGGGTGTGGAATTAAGGAGCTGATCTAATTGGCTGCCGGCCAATCGGTTGAAAAATCAAATATGAAATGAAAACTCACGATGGTCACGAAAAGCGGGGTGCACTTAAAACAATCAGACCAAAGTGAATGGAAAATTATGCATGCAAATTTACACAACTATTCCAACGGTCCTAATGAGGCGGGTCCGAAAGCCGGTGAACATCAGGCTCCATATATTTTTTTGAGCTACTGATAACGCCTCGCAGCTGGTTTCATATTTAATGGTTATTATATATAATATACAGGCAGACTCGCGGTTCGACACCCACAAATTTGCATGATCACACTTTTTTTTTCTTTTG